CTCTTCTTCTTCCACTTCTCTTCTTCTGCTTCCATTCCTCCCTTTCTTCCACTTCCTCTTTCTTTTCTTCCACTTCCTCTCTGCTTCTTCCACTCTGCTTCGTATTTCACTCCCTTCTCTTCTTCTTCCTTCTCTACCCTTCCCCTTCTCCCCCACCCGCATTCTTTCTTTTCCATCATTTCTTGTTTAGATTCTTTTTCCATCTATCCTCTTCCTTTCCTTCTCCTTTTTTTCTTTCATTTCCCCTCTTCCTCTTCCTCCCTTTTCCCCTATCCTCTCCTTCTTTCCACATCTCTCGGCCTCCCTCTCCCTCCCTTAATCTTTCTTTTATCACTTCCTCCCCTTCTTCCCCCACGCCCCCCCCCCCCCCACTTCCTCACTCAATTGAACATTCCTTGGCATCTCACGTCCTACCTTGCTATTAACCCTCCCCCCCTCCCCTCCCCTCCCCTCCTCCCCAACCAAGTCCCTCCCTCCTCTTCCCTTCCCTTCCCTTCTCTTCTCTTCCTCCCCTTCCCTCTCTTCTCTCCCTCCCCTTTCCCTTCTCCTTACCTCTCCTCCTCCCCTTCCCCTCCTTCTCCCCTCCCCTCCCCCAACCAAGCCCCTCCTCTTCACTTCCTTCCCTTCCTTCTCTTCTCTTCCCTCCCCTTCCCTCTCCTCCCTCACTCCTTTCTCTCCTCCCCTTCCCTCTCCTCCTCCCCTTCCCTCCTCCCCACCAAGGCCCCTTCCCCTGCCCTTCCCTTCCCTCTCCTTCTCTTTCTTCTCTTCCCTCCCCTTCCTCTCCTTCTCTCCCTCCCTTTCCCTCTCCTTCCCTCTCCTCCTCCCTCCCTCTTCCTTCTCCCATTCGCTCCCTCCCCTCCTCCCCAACCAAGCCCCTCCCCTGCCTCCCCCTTCCCTCTCCTTCTCCCCTTCCCTCCCTCCCTTCCCCTCTCCTCCCCCCCTCCCTCCTCCCCCATCATTCGAATTCCTTCCCTCCCCCCCCTCCCCTCCCCCCCTCCCTCTCTCCCCCTTCCGTCTACTCTCTCCCCCTTCCGTCTAACCTCATCCCCACTCCCCCCCTCTCCTCCCTCTCCCCATCTTCAACCCCCCCCCCTGTCCAACCCCCAACTCCCCCCCCCCCCCTCGCCTCGGAGAACTGGCACCGTGCCATGCCATTACCCCTGCCTGCCATCCCTATCCTAGCCCGACGCTGCTCTTCCTGCCTTTCTTCTTCCTCCTTTTATCTCCTCTTCGTCTTCCACTTCCTCCTCTTCTTCTTCTTCTTCCACTTCCTCTTCTTCTTCTTCTTCTTCCATTTCCTCTTCTTTTTCTTCCACTTCCTCTTCTTTTTCTTCCACCTCCTCTTCTTCTTCTTCTTTCATTTCCTCCTCTTCTTCTTCCACTTCCTCTTCTTCTGCTTCCATTTCCTCCTCTTTTTCTTCCACTTCCTCTTCTCTTTTTCTTCCACTTCCTCTTCTTCTTCTTCCACCTCCTTCTTCTTATTTCACTCCCCTTTCTCTTCTTCTTCCTTCTCTACCCTCATCCCCTTCTCCCCTTCTCTCCCACCCGCATTCTTTCTCTTCCATCATCTTCTTTGTTTCCTTCTTTTTCCATTTCTCCTTCTTCCTTCTCCTTCTCCCTTTTTTTCCTTTTCATTCTCCCCCTCTTCCTCTTCCTCCCTTTTCCCCTATTCCTTCTTCCTTCTTCTCCACATCTTTCTCGGCCTCCCCCTCCCTCTCCTTCATCTTTTCTTTTTATCACTTCCTCCCCTTCTTCCCCCACGCCCCCCCCCCCCCCACTTCCTCACTCAATTGAACATTCCTTGGCATCTCACGTCCTACCTTGCTATTAACCCTCCCCCCCTCCCCTCCCCTCCCCTCCTCCCCAACCAAGCCCCTCCCCTCCTCTTCCCTTCCCTTCCCTTCTCTTCTCTTCCCTCCCCTTCCCTCTCCTTCTCTCCCTCCCTTTCCCTCTCCTTACCTCTCCTCCTCCCCTTCCCTCTCCTTCTCTCCCCTCCCCTCCTCCCCAACCAAGCCCCTCCTCTTCCCTTCCCTTCCCTTCCCTTCTCTTCTCTTCCCTCCCCTTCCCTCTCCTTCCCTCACTCCCTTTCCCTCTCCTTCCCTCTCCTCCTCCCCTTCCCTCCTCCCCAACCAAGCCCCTCCCCTGCCCTTCCCTTCCCTCTCCTTCTCTTCTCTTCTCTTCCCTCCCCTTCCCTCTCCTTCTCTCCCTCCCTTTCCCTCTCCTTCCCTCTCCTCCTCCCCTTCCCTCTCCTTCTCCCCTTCCCTCCCCTCCCCTCCTCCCCAACCAAGCCCCTCCCCTGCCCTCCCCTTCCCTCTCCTTCTCCCCTTCCCTCCCCTCCCTTCCCCTCTCCTTCTCCCCCCCTCCCTCCCTCCCTCTCGCATCCCCATCTCTCCCAGAAACAATAAAAGGAGGGGGGGTGAGAAATGGGGGAGGGGAGGGGGAAGGGAAGAGGGAAAGGGGAAGGAGGAAGGAAGAAGAGAGGGGAAGGAGGGGGGGGAGGAGGGAAAAAGGTGGGAAGGGAGAGAAGAAAGGAGGAAGGGAAGGAGAGGGAAGCAGGGGAGAGGAGAGGAGAGGAGAAGAGAGGAGGAGATAAGAGAGGAGAAGAGAGGAGAAGGAGGGAAGTAAGAAAGGAGGGGAAGGCGCAGGAGAGAAAAGGAAGGGAGGAAGGGCGTAGCAGGAGAGAAGAGGAGAGGAGAGGAGAAGAAAAGGGACAGTAAAGAACAGATGAGAAGAGAAAAGAAGAGAAGAGAAGAGGAGAGAGGGGACAGAAGAGACAGTAAAGAAGAAAACAGAAGAGAAGAGAGGGACGGAGGGAACAGTAGAGGAGAAAAGATAAGAGAAAAGATAAGATAAGAGAAAAGATAAGATAAGAGAAAAGAGGGGACGGAAAGGACAGTAAAGAAAGGGGAATAAGCGAAATGAAGCGAAGAGAAGAGAAGGGAAGAGTGAAGAAGAGAAGAAAAGAAAAGAGAAGAGAAGGGAAGAGTGAAGAAGAGAAGAAAAGAAAAGAGAAGAGAAGGGGAGAGAAGAGAGGAGCAGAGAAGAGAAACGAGAAGGAGAAAAGAGAAGAGAAGAGAAAAGGAGAAAAGAGAAGAGAGGAGAGGAAAAGAGAAAAGAGAAGAGAAGAGAAAAGAGGAGAAAAGAAGAGAAAAGAAGAGACGGAAGGAACAGCATTGAAGAGGGGAAGGTAAGGACAGGGGAAGATGAGGTAGGTAGGTATCTGACGTCACCTGGGAGTGGGTATGGGAAAAGGTAAGGGGGGGGAGGGGGGGGCGAGGGTAGGGGTACCTGTCCTCCCCCCTTTCTCTCCCTTCCCCCCCTTAAAAGGCAGCGCCATCTGTTTAACTCCTTCTCGTGACGTTGCTGTTCTATGGTTGTGATTCTTCTTTTATTTTATCTCTCTTTTTTTTTCTCTCTCTTTCTATTTCTTTTCTTTCCCTTTTTTATTTAGTCAACTCCTTCCTCTCACAAGTTTTATTTTATTTTTTTCTTAGTTTTATTATATATATATATATATATATATATATATATATATATATATATATATATATATATATATATATATATATATTTTTACTTTTTTTTCTCTCTCTTTGTTTTCTAATCTTATGTTTTCCCTTTCACTATCCTTTACGTTTTTCTCTTTTTCCCTTTGTCTTGTCCCTTTCCTCTTCCTCCTCCTTCCTCCCCTTTCTTCTTGCATTTTCCTCCATTCCTTTATTTCATTGAAAAAAAAAAAAATGCAAAGGAAAGAACAGATATTAAAGTGGCAGAAGAAGAAGAAGAAGAAGAAGAAGAAGAAGAATGAAGAACAGAAAAAAATACATAAAACTAATAAATGTACAAAATATAATGTTGGCAAAAGATAATAATAAGAAAAATGAAAGAAAACAAGGCAGATGAAGAAATAAATTAAAAAACGCAACAACAACAGAAACAGAAACAACAACAACAACAACAAAACAATGCAAAGAAATTCCTGAATGAAAGGAAGAAATGACGAGGATGAGGAAGACAGAAAAATGAAAAAAAGAGAAAAAAAAAGAAAAAAAAGTACACTTATGAAAGGAGGAAAGGAGAGAATAAGAAAAAAACTCACACCCAAAAAGTTAAAATAAAATAATAATAGTAAAAAGAAGAGAAGAAAATGAAGAAAATATAAAGAAGAAGGAGAAAAGGAGGAAGAAAGTATAATAATAATAATAATAATAATAATAACAATAATAATAATGATAATAATAATAATAATAATAAAAATAATAATAATAATAAAAACAATAATAATAACAACAATGATATAAAAATAACAACAACAGCAATACTACTAATAACAGTAATGATAATAATAATAATAACAATAATAGAATAATAACAATAAAACAATAAAGAAAAGGAGGAGAATAAAAAAAATATTGAAAAAGGAGAAAGGAATGGGAATAAAAAAGTAAAAGGAAGAAGTAAAAAGAAGAAGCAGACGAAGAAAAACAATGATGAGAAAAATGAAGGAGGATAATCATAAAAAAATAATAATAATATTGATGACAATAATGGAAATTAATAATAATCATAAAAATTATAATAATGATGATAATAATAAAAATAATAATAGTGATAATAATAATAATAATAATAATTATAATTATGATGATAATAATAACAATAATAATAGTGATAATAATAATAATGATAATAATAATAATAATAATAATAACAATAATAAAAAAAAAATAATAATAACAATAATAATAATAATAATAATATAGATAATAATAACAATAATAATAATAATAATAATATAGATAATAATAACAATAATAATAATAATAACAATAATAATAATAATAACAATAATAATAATAATAACAATAATAAATAAATAAATAAAATGATAATAATGAAAATAAAAATAATCTCTCTCTCTCTCTCTCTCTCTCCCCCTCTTTTATTTACATATTTAATTTATTCATTTTATTTATTCTATTTATCACCATAAATCTCACCTGAGAATGATAGCAGAGGGGGGCGTCGGGGAGGCGTTGGGGGGGGAGCTCCTCCCACGTCTCTCTGAGCCTCGACGAATCCTCCTCCATCGCCTGCTGTAGCTCGGCATTGAGGTCCACGTCCAGCTGGAGGGGGAGGGGGTCGAGGAGGAGGTGGATGTAAGTAAGGACGAAAGTGGTATTTTTTTTTTTTTTTTTTTTTTTTTTTGAGGGGGGGGGGAGGGAGGGAAACAACAATAATATTAACAAAAATAAGGGCAAAGATGATAATGATAATGATAATAATAATAGTAATAGTAATGGTAATATTAAGGATGATAATAATAATGACAATAACTATAATAATGATAATAATGATAAGGACAAAAATTATGATAATAATGATAATGATAAAATAATGATAACAATATGTCATAGTAATAATAACAATTAAAAATAATAATCATTACTGAAAACTGAAGTATCAAACAGCAGCTACTTTTGCAACAATAATTACTTCAACACTTAATAATAACGTCAGTGATACCAAAAATACGAAATAAAATAGAAAAAAAGGAAAATACAAGAAAGGAAGAGAAAAAAGGGGAAAATAAAAGAAAGAAAGAGAAAAAAAAGGAAAATGCAAGAAATAAAATAGAAAAAAAAGGAAAATGCAAGAAAGAAAGAGAAAAAAGGTAAAATAAAAGAAAGAAAGAGAAAAAAGGGAAAATAAAAGAAAGAAAGAGAAAAAAGGGAAAATAAAAGAAAGAAAGAGAAAAAAGGGAAAATAAAAGAAAGAAAAATAACATGAAAGAGAGAAAGAATTAAAAAGGAAAAATAAATAATAACATGAAAGAGAGAAAAATGGGGAATGAAAGAAAAAACAAAGGAAAATGAAAAGAAGAAAATGAAAGAAAAAAAGAAAAAACGAAGAATGAAAGAAAAAAAGAAAAAACGAAAAATGAAAGTAAAAATAAAAGAAAGAAAATAGGGAAAATGAAAGCTAAAGAGGGAAATTAAAGAAACAAAGAAAGAGAGAAAAACGAACAGAGGAGAAAAAGGAAATGAAAGAAGGAAAAGGAAAAAAGGAAAAAAAAGAAAAAAAGGAAATTAAAGAAAGAAAAAAAGGAAAGTGAAGGAAAGAAGAAAAAGAAAAGAAAATAAAGGAAGAAAAATATGAACGAAAGAAAAAAGTACAATCAAAGAAAGAAAAAAAGAAAGATAGAAAAAAATGAAATAAAAAATAAAAAAGTCAAAATGAAAATGAAAGACAGAAAAAAAGTAAAATAGAAAAAAAAAATAAATAAATAAAAATGAAAGATAGAAAAAAAAATTAAAATGAAACAAACAAAGTAAGAAAAGTGAACGAAAAAAAACAACAACAGAAAAATGAAAATCAGAAAGGAAAATTAAATCCACACAAACCTTCACATGATCCACCTCCCAAAGCTGTCTCCTGACCGGCCTTTTTCCCCTGAGCTGTTGGTTCTGTCGAGAAAAAAAAGAGAAAGAAAATATTAATATTGAATAAATAAATAAAAAATAAAAAGAAAGGGCTGCTCACCTGCGTCAGAAAAGGGGGGTAGGGGTAGGGGTAGTATCCATGAACGTTATCGGAAAATTCTAATAATAAAATTTGAGAATGTCTCAATAGTAAATGTAAAAAAAAAAAAAACAAAAAAACAAAAAAAAACAAATAAGTCTTAAATATTGTCTTAGACGTTTTTTTTGCGCGTTCTCCGGTCTCAGACAGGCCACGTCACAGAAAAAAATATTAAATAAATAGATCTAACATACTTTTGTATTACTCTAAATGACGTATGTCCTGTATATAACCAATATTATACTAATGCATATATCAACACGTTCATTATTGCCAAAAAACTGACATAAGAAAATGAATGTACATTTGGCAACACCGCTCATTTTCTCTCATCAATTGATTTCATATTCATAAATATCTTTAAATGTATGCAAATGACTTGTTCTTTGGGGAAACGATCAAATGTGCTTGGAGTAACACATAAAAAGCCATAATTTACAGGCAAAAAGCATGACGATCAATGAAAATGTGACGATGACCTTTGCTAAAGCGCCAAAGTCGTGATGTCGGTTTCTGTGGAACTTTGTACTTCATAAATATCCTCAAAAATTAAAGTAGATGTGTTTTTTATTAGAGAGAAAAATATATAATGAACATGATTAGCACGTACAGAAGACTTAGTTATAGAAATAGACATGGAAATTAATATGAATTAACAGCATTGCAAAGTTTTCCCTAAACTAGGTAGCCATAAACCAGAGGATCCAAACCTTGAAGTTCAAAGCTTGAATAACTATGTACTATTTGTTAACATTGACGTATTTTTTCTCTTGAATAACTATGTACTATTTGTTAACATTGACGTATTTTTTCTCTTTAATAAAGACTGTTAGGGAGGATTATTTTATGAATAAGAAAATACTTTTTGCTGATTTCTTGTAATAAATTTGTTTTGCTGTGGCATGAGCTATTTATGAAACAACCATGAAATCCCTTTCTTAGATGTATTGTTATTATTATTTTTATTATTATCATTATTAAATATATATATATATATTTTTTATATGCATATATATGCATATATATATATATATATATATATATATATATATATATATATATATATATATATATATATATATATATATATATATATATATATCACCTCCATTCAGATTAGCCATATAGTTTAAACTTTTTCAGTAAATAAAAGAGAAAAAAATCATAATAGATTTCCTTTCACAAATACCTCTGATACAGCAAAATTAAAATGATTTTTGTAATTCTGGATCACTTTCAGTATAAGAGTATTATTGGCATAAGCATATGGATATTAGTGATGATCATTTTATAAATAAGAGTAAAAATATATATCTTTTGCCGAGTTCTTGTATAAAATGTGTAATCAATGAAATGTGTCCTTTTAAATTTATATTTTGAAGTAGAGTGAACATATATATAATTCAACTAAATTCAAATCTAATATTTAATTTTGTCTAACTTTCAGCAAAATAAAGAAATATTCAAAAGAAAATGAAAAAATGAAAAGTTACAAGAAACCAGCAAGATCAGATTTTTTCCTTGTTCACCAAATAATCTTATTCTACATTCTGTAATCTTAAAGTACAATGGTGTTAGTTGCATGTACTGTTAGGCTTTATTGTTATTCGAAACTGTATATGAATTGTGTATCATGATATATTTGTTCAATCTGTCCATATGCCTTTATATATGCATATATGTGTGTGTATAGACATACACACATACATACATACATACACACACACACACACACACACACACACACACACACACACACACACACACACACACACACACACACACACCACACACACACACACACACACACACACACACACACACACACACACACACACACACACACACACACACACACACACACATACACACACACACACACACACACACACACACACACACACACACATATGTATATATACATATACATATATATATATATATATATATATATATATATATATATATATATATATATATATATATATATATGTATATACATATATATATACATATATATATATATATATATATATATATATATATATATATATATATATATATATATATATATATATATATTTATATCTGTTTAGGCTACATATATTTATTTATTTATTTATACACATATTCATATACCTATACATGTATATGTATATACTGATAAATAAATAAATATCTATCTGTCTATCTATTTATTGATCTATATATACATATACCTATCTGAAAATATAATATATATATATATAATGTATATATACATATATATATGTATATATATATATATATATATATATATATATATATATATATATATATATATATATATATATATATATATATATATATATATGTATGTGTATGTATATATATATACACATATATTTCTATATCTATCTTTCTTTCTATATATGTTTGTCTGTGTTATATTTACAATTATAATATATAATATACATATATCTTTTTCTATCTGTTTAGGCTACATACATTTATTTACTTATGTATACACATATACAATACCTATACAGTATATGTATATACTGATAAATAAATAAATAAATATCTATCTATCTATCCATTTATTGATCTATATATACATATATCTGTCTACCTATCTGTAAATATAGTATATATATATATATATATATATATATATATATATATATATATATATATATATATATATATATATATATATATATATATATATATATATATATATATATATATATATTTATCATATATGTGTGTGTATGTATGTATGTATACACATATATTTCTATATCTATCTATCTTTCTATATGTGTGTATCTGTGTTATATTTACAATTATAATATATAATATATATATATATATCTTTTTCTATCTGTTTAGGCTATATGCACTTATTTATTTATTTATTTATACACATATACATATACCTATAAATGTATATGTATGTACTGGTAAATAAATAAATATCTATCTATCTATTTATTGATCTCTATATACATATATCTATCTACCTATCTCTAAATATACACATAGAAACACACACACACACACACACACACACACACACACACACACACACACACACACACACACACACACACACACACACACACACACACACACAGACGACTCAGAACCCTCACGGCCTGGCTCACATTTGATACAGTTGAGAATATTTTGAGTCACTGTCTGAGTCACTGTCGCAGTCTCAGGTAATTTGGCCGTCTGAGTACCTTCGTGGATACCACTCTGAGGGGTTTTGGGAGGGGGGAGGGGGGAGGGGGGAGGGGAGGTGTATGGAATGGAATATAGTTTTTTTTTTTGGGGGGGGATGGGTAAGTTTAAATCCATGTGGTTGAGTAACATAAATGCATATAGTCCACACACACACACACACACGCACACACACACACACGCACACACACACACACACACACACACACACACACACACACACACACACACACACACACAGCAAATAGGTGTGTGTGCGTGTTTAAGCTTTTGTGTGCGTGTGTGTACGTGTGTAAGTTTTTGTGTGCGTCTGTGTGTGTGTTTAAGTTTTTGAATGCGTGTGTATGAGTGTTTTTTTTGTGTGTGTTTTATTTTTATTTATCACTATTATCATTATTGTGTGTGTGTGTGTGTGTGTATGTGTGTGTGTGTGTGTGTGTGTGTGTGTGTGTGTGTGTGTGTGTGTGTGTGTGTGTGTGTGTGTGTGTGTGTGTGTGTGTTGCCTGTGTATTTTTTGGATGTGTACAGGAGGTTTAGGATGAGGGTGTGAGTGTGAGTATTCGAGTATTACAACGTGTGTGAGTATGAGTAATTATGAATATGAGTATGATTATGAGTTAATATGATGAGTGTGTTTATGAATATATATATATATATAAGATTATGAGTGTTTACGTGTATGAGTATGAGTGTTTATGGTATGAGTGTATTATTATGAGTGTTTATGAGTATGAGTGTAAATATGATTATGAGTGTTTATGAGTATGATTATGAGTGTTTATGGTATGAGTGTATTATCATGACTGTTTATGAGTATGAGTGTAAATAATAGTGTATGGTTATGAGTGTTTACGAGTATGAGTATGAGTGTAAATATGAGTGTTTATGTGTACGAGTGTATGAGTGTAAATATGAGTGTTTACGTGTACGAGTATGAGTGTATGAGTGTAAATATGAGTGTTTATGTGTACGAGTATGAGTGTATGAGTGTAAATATGAGTGTTTATGTGTACAAGTATGAGTGTATGAGTGTATACACTTACCAAAGCAGCCACGACTCTTTGGCTTTCCAACAACTGCTTTTCTCCGATCGGTGGTTGAGGCAAGTCTGCGCCTCTCTCATTTTCCTCATGTTTATCACTTGGTTGCTTTGTTTCCCTTTCGTGGTGTCCATTTTTCTCCTTTGTACTATCATCTTTCTTCTCTGAGTCCGTAGCTTTATCTTTGTTTGTCTCATTCCCCTCTTTCGTTATCTTCATCTTCTCGACTTTTGTGTTATTTTCTTCGTTCGTTTCAAGTTCCTTTGTTTGATTCTTGTCATTTTCTTCGTTTCCACTCTTTATCAAGTTATCCTCCTTCTTCTGCGATTCTCTCTCCTCATTTCCGTTCTTATCCTTTTCTTTATCTTCTAACACATCCTCCATCTTTTCCTCTTCACCTCCTTTATCACCGTCTCCCTCTTCTTTTGTTATCTCCAATTCTTTCTCTTTTGTTTCTTTATCCTCTTTTCTCTCTTGCTCCTCTTTTTTGTGTCCATTCACGTATATGGCGGAGGAGGGAGAAGAGAGAGGAGGATCAGGAGAGATGGAAGGGGGAGAGATAGACGAAGAAATGGAACAGGAAGAAGGAACAGAAGAAGAAACAGACAAAGAACAGGAAGGAGAAGTAGACGAAGAACAGGAAGAAGGAACAGAAGGAGGAACAGACGACAGACAGGAAGAAGGAACAGAGGAGGTAGAAACAGACGAAGAACAAGAAGAAAGAACGGAAGGAGAAACAGACGAAGAACAGGACGAAGGCAAGGAGAGACGAAGAGACGTGGCTGAAGGAGGCGCTGAAGTCGGTGGCGTGAAGAAGGAAGGAATGGCGACGGAGGAGGAGGGCGCGAGAGACGAGCTTCGTGGCAGGGGCGTGGCGGGGAATCCTCCGTCAGTAGCGGTGAAATTCGCCGAACTGCCGAGAACCGCTGAATCTTCGCGCATGGCTAGTTCAGGAGGGCTAGTTGAGCTGCGATAGCTAGCCGAGTTCATGAGGCTCCCTGGATCTCCGCTGCTAGCTGCGTCGGTGAGACAAGCTGGATAACTAGCCGGATCGGGAGAACTAGCGGATGTAGGAGGGCTAGTGGAGAGAGATGAACAGTTCCGGGTAGTGAGAGCAGCGAGGCCGGTTATGCTAGTGGTGCTAGTCGTGTCGGAGGAACTAGCAAGATCATCGGGGCTAGTTGTGCCCGAGGAATTGAGGCGAGAGGCGCTGCTTCCAAAGGTTTCGTCAGCCGAGTCACTGTTGCCGTCTGTCATCGTCTTCGC